TGACCTTGAGAGGCAAGAGCAGTTTTATTTATAATTATTAAAAAATGATTTCCAAGGAAACATCAAGTAACATAACTTTGCATAAGAGACTGGTATTGTTAGGACATTAGAGGGATTTGATCAGTAATAACTGGTTGCACTAAAGTGAAGCTGGCTCCTAGAAATGGAGAATGAAGACTACGCATAGAGCATAGTAAAGAAAAGAAGAGGGGGGGGCCTGGAGCGATGGCGCAGTGGTTAAGGTCCTCGCCTTGCACGCCCAGGATCCCATATGGGCACCGGTTCTATCCTGGCAGCCCTGCTTCCCTTCCAGCTCCCTGCCTGTGGCCTGGGAAAGCAGTCGAGGATGGCCCAAGGCTTTGGGACCCTGCACCCGTGTGGGAGACCCGGAAGAGGCTCCTGGCTTTGGATCGGCATAGTATCGGCCGTTGCGCTCACTTGGGGAGTGAGTCATCGGACGGAAGATCTTCCTCTCTGTCTCTCCTCTCTGTATATCCGCCTTTCCAATAAAAAAAAAATTTAAAAAAAAAAGAAGAAGAGGGGTTGGTACTGTGGCACTACTGTTAAACCACTGCCTGCACTCCACTTCTGGTCCTGTTCCCTGCTTGGGCACCTGTACCCATGTGGGAGACCCTGAAGAGTCTCTCGACTCCTGACTTCTGCCTGTTAAAGCCCTGGCCATTGAGGGAGTGGACCAGTGGAAGGAAAATCTATGTTGCTCTGTTTTTCAATAAATAAGATAAATCTTAAAAAAAAAAAAAAAGAAAAAATGATTGAGGGAAAAGAACAGCATTAATGAATCTTCAGGGTTATGATTGGTATTGTAGCAAAATACAGAGCAAAATCTTGGAAACTGGAGATTCCAGAGTTAGAAAACAGTGTAGCTCCTTGACGTGGAGGAAGTTTCTGCTGGACTCTGCTTGCCTGAACTTATTCCCAGAAATGCCTGGGGCTTTCAGTTGCTGGTGCTGATTGTATAATTCCTAGTGCCTAAGTTCATGGCTAGGAAGAAAGGTGCATATTTTCTCAAACCTCAGCACATTGTACTACATAAGTAGGTGTTTATTGTCATAATAGAAATAAAGCTTAGGAAGAAATTAATGACTTGCTGTTGCTGCTCATGTTCCCTAGTGTGATAACTAAGAATTTTTAAAAGATTTTTTAATTCGTTTATATTTATTTAAAAGGCAGAGCAACAGGAGAGAGAGAGAGAGAGATGGAGAGATGGAACATGAGGTGTGTGGAGGAGAGGAGTGAATGAATGAATGAAATTTCTTCCATTGTTCATTCCCCAGATGCTGACAGCAGCTGGCACTAGACTGGGAAGCTGAATCAAGTTAGTGGTGAATTGTGACAATACATATAAAATGTAGATACTGGAGAAACTCAGACTCAATGTCTGAGGTTTTTATTGGGGCAGGTCACATGGGCATCCTCTGCTTAGCTCTTGCCACAATCCCAGATCACTAGAATGAAGTGGTGTTTTAGTATAAACCATACTGTTTATGCAAACAATTTAGGCATAGTGAGCCACACTTAAAATGAGGGAAAGTTCTGTCTTGTAGGGAGTTCTCATTCAAGTTCCCAGACACCAACCAAAGACAAAACTTGCCAGCCAAAGTTTTCTCAGGATACCAATCTCAGATCTGTCATGCTGATTTGTTTTTCATGAAAACTGATTTATACATTTACATAAGCTGATTGTGGCAAAGCAGGTAAGACCACCACCACCACCTGTGACACTGGCATTCCAAATTGGTGTCTGACCGCTGCAGTCAAATGGGAGTGAGCAAAGAATAGAGGCTCTCTGTCTCTGGCTCCCTTTTCTCTGTGACTCTGACTGTCAGATACCAGCTGCAGTGCCAGAATCCGTTATCAGTGCTGCATCACATCCCAGGTACACCACTTCTGATCTAGCTCACTGCTAGTGACCTGGGGAAAGCGGAGGGCTCAAAGTTGATTGGGTGCCTGCATCCATGTGGGAGAGCTGAATGAAGCTCCTGGCTGCTGGCTTCCCCCTGAGCCAGTGCCATCTGAAAAGTGAACCAGAGGATGGAAGATCTCTCTTTGTAACTCTTAATTTAGTAATGAATGTAAAAGGAAGGAATGAAATAACAAACCAAAGAATTGATTATGATCATTTAGCCTATGACATGGAAGAATTAGCTGTTAGAATGAACCAATTTTTAAAATGTAATTATTTTTGTTTCATTTGAAAGGTACAAAGGCTGACAGAAGTCTGTCCACTGTTTCATTCCCCAAATGCTCACAGTAGCCAAGTCAAAAAAAAAAAAAGAATATATGCATTGTATGCATTTTGGGTGATCTTAATTACCATTGATTTGCCAGAATGACTAATAAAAAAGTTATATTCATAGCTATTTTGTCACAGGGAAGGATGAGTGTAGCCATGCAAGGAGGTCAGGTTCAGACTTCCATATCCTCCCTAATAATCATATGGACACACTTTTCTGTCTGTGAGTAACAGAGACATGGACAAAGTTTCACTAGCTAGGGAAGCAAATAGTATTAGAGGAATATGGTCACTTAGGCACCTTTCCTTTATATGACCTCCCTGGGGACTGAAACTTTAGACCAGATATTAGGTACACATCATGTCATAATTCTTGGTGATTACTTTAAACAATGCTGATAGCCATTCTGACTCATAATCTGGAACAGACTGAATAACATCAATAACTAACATCATTCCAGCACTTTAGTTCTCAGAGTTTGCTAAGGTCGTTGCCAACTCCAGGCATTCCCTGGAGATTAGCAAGACCCATTAATAGACTTGCTGAGTCAACTCTTTTTTTCTCAGTGTTTCAATGCAATTTTTTTCTTAAAAACATATTTATTTTATTTCTATTGGAAAGTCAGATATTCTGAGAGGAGAAGAGACAGAGAAGAAGATCTTCCATCCAGCGGTTCACTTCCCAAGTGACCACAATGGCCGGAGCTGCTCCGATCCTAAGCCACAAGCCAGGAGCTTCTTCCTTCTTGGTCTCCCACACGGCTGCAGAGTCCCAAGACTTTGGGCTGTCCTTAACTGCTTTCCCAGGCCACAAACCGGGAGCTGGATGGAACGTGGAGCATCTAGGGCATGAACTGGCACCCATAAAGGTTCCTGGTGCTTGCAGTGTGAGGATTTTAGTCACTGAGCTGTCTTGCTGGGCCCATGAATGCAATTTAATTGTAGACAGAGGGATAGTACTCTAAATTTTGTAATATATAATTGATAGTAGAAATAGTTAAAAAATTATTTTTCTGAAGAGAAATTTGTAAGTTTTTTTAGAGACTTATGTGATGATGGCTTTCACATTTTCCAGTTTTGTCCATAGTATTTTTATTAATTTTTCATTGCATTGTATTAACTTCATAACATTGGTTGTGTATGAAAATTAGTGTCTTACCTACAGTGCTTAATGTAGTTAGCAGTTTTTAAAAACAATTTTTTAGAAAGAAAAATTATATTCTGTGTCTGGCACTATAGTTCAGTGGCTTAATACTCACCTTACAGGCACTGGGATCCCATAAATCTGCCTTTCCAATAAAAATGAATAAAGCTTTACAAAAAATAAAGTATATTCTGTATTTGAAGACACATCTTTCTATTCTTCTATGCTTTACATATAAGTGGTGATGACTAATATTGGTGGCAACGTACTTGGTACTTTGTCTTTAGTTCTTTTAAAATTTTTGGTTTTTTTTTTTTTTAAACATTTATTTGTTTTTATTGGAAAGTCAAGTTTACAGAGAAAAGGAGAAACAGAGAAACATCTTCCATTTACTGGTTCACTCCCAAGTAGGCCACAATGACCAGAGCTGAGCCAATCTGAACCTAGGAGCCAGGACCTTCTGGGTTTCCCACGTGGGTGCAGGGTCCCAAGGCTTTGGGCCGTCCTGGACTGCTTTCCCAGGCCACAAGCAGGGAACTGATGGGAAGTGGAGCAACCAGGATTAGAACCAACGCCCAAATGGGATACTGGCAAGGTGAGGGTGTTAGCCACTAAACTACCATGCTGTATCCTTTTAATTTTTTTAAAGATTTGTATATTTTTAATTAAAGGGAGATTTACAGAGAGAAGGAAAGACAGAAAGATCATCCATCTGCTGGTTCACTTCCCAAATGGCCACAGTGGCATTGAGAACCATGAACGTCTTCTGGTTCTCCCACATAGGTGCAGGGTCCCAAAGATTTGGGCTGTCCTCCACTGTTTTCCTAGGCTGCCAGAAGGAAACTGAATGGGTCATGCAGCAGCCAGGATGTGAATTGGAATCCTTTTGGGATGCTTGTGCTTGCAGGTGGAGGATAATCTGTTGATCCATTGTGTTGTTCCCTGTCTTTAATTTTTAAAGCACCTGTACCTGGCTTCATTGTTTTGTTAACAAGATCAATAAATTTAGAAACAATAACTTTTTTGTTATTTATACTTAATGTGATTTACCTTTGATTCAGTTATGCTGTTTTAAATGAAACTATCAAATAATTTTTATTATAACTTGCTGTTCTAATATATATAACTAAATGGCATACTTGAGTGTCACAGTAGCCAAAATGCAAAGTGTATTTGACACATGGGAGAATTCTTTGTGTCTGGTCACTGAATGTGAATATACAGAATAGACAGGGAATCACTGATTGTTGAGACTCTTGTGGTAATTGCTAGTTTTGCATTTGCATTGTAATGTGACAGTTAAATGGAAAAGTATTTAGGGTCCATATGTTTGATGATATTAAATAGTTCACTATTGTTTTGATTTTTATTTTTAATTATAAAGAATCAAATACTTTCCTACTTGTTTATTAACTTATTTATGTGTGCGATGTATTTTTATCCTTTACACATTATGCTATTAGATACTGTTTTATAGGAGCTATTTTTATAGTGAATTTTCATATTAGTGAATTAATTCATATGAACTAAATTCATAATGTTAATCTTATAATTGATTTTCTAGCTTGCAAATTTCTAAATTAATCTTTTTTTTCTCTCTAGGATATGAATGTGATTTCTGATGAAACTGGATTGGAATAATTTTCATGATCTTTGTATATTTATATATATATATTTTTTAAAATTTTGCATTTGATTTAAAGTGCCATGAGAAAATTTGCATACTGCAAGGTGGTCTTGGCCACCTCCTTGGTTTGGGTACTCTTGGATATGTTCCTGCTGCTTTACTTCAGTGAATGCAACAAATGTGATGAGAAAAAGGAGAGAGGACTTCCTGCTGGAGATGGTGAGTGATATTCTGCAATAACAACATTTTGATAAAGATATCAGGTTTAAATTTGGGTAATATAAATTTTAATTTGTTGGATTACTAGAAATCCCAGCTTTGTATATATAATCATATTTGTAAGAGTCTCTGGTGTGTTCTTCCAGCAACTAAAAATATTAAAGTATCATATATTAAATTGCTAAATACATTTGTAGCCATACTAAACATGAAATTTATTCAGGTTAGTTTGTGCTACCAAACAATGTTAGAAGTATCATGGTTGAACTGTCCAAATTGTGTAGAGAAGTCTAACGCTTTACTACTGGTTTCAGTTGTGGGTGACAGGGGCCCATCATTTCCTCTGAAGGACAGTAGCAGAAGACCGGGTTGGAAGCAGAGCAGCACTCTGGCACTGGATGCCAGTGTCACAGATGGTAGCCCAACTTGCTGCACTGCAACTCCAGACCCAAGTGTAATTTTAATAGGTCATTTTATATTACTAGTTTATTTCTTCTTGGGAAATTTGTCTAAAAGTAGGTTCAGTTGCTACTACTAGTAGTAACACCTAGTCTGACCTTTAACTTTTTAATGTTTACTTCCAAAGTCTTAATGAAATATATTTTTATTGAATGTCAGCCAGTTAATTTGCATATTTACTTCACAGCTCAGATTTTTAACTTTGTTGTAGAGCAAAACTTTTTTTTAAAGATTGATTTATTTTTATAGGAAAAGTCAGATATATAGAGAGGAGGAGAAAAAGAGAAAGATCTTCTGTCCGATGATTTACTCCCCAAGTACCACAGTGGCTGGAGCTAGGCTGATCCAAAGCCAGGAGCCAGGAGCTCTTCCAAGTCTCCCACGCAGGTGCAGGGTCCCAAGGTTTTGGGCTGTCCCTGACTGCTTTCCCAGGCCACAAGCAGGGAGCTGGATGGGAAGCGGGGCTGCCGGGATTAGAACTGGCACCCATGTGGATTTCCGGCACGTTCAAGGCGAAGACTGACTGCTAGGCCACTGTGCTGGTCCCACAAAACATTTTTTAACTTGATGGAGCTATGCTCTCTGCCTACACCTAAATCAGTGGGCAGGTCTTACTGTTCTTCCAGAACAAATCCTGATATTCCTTCCCCTTATTGTGTATTTATTCATTGGTATTTACAGTGGGAGCTGATAGTGTTCTGTCTTAAATTCAAAACTTGGAAGGCAAGGAAGAGACGACCTCATAGCATGTAAAGCTTCTTAAAACAGTGATGTGTGCTGACCAGTGTGCTAGTTAGTTCAATGAAAATCAACAAAACAACAATAACAAAATTTATACCTTACTAGTATAATGGAAGAGAAAAATAATTGTAGAATATCAGTGTAATGAATATTGCTCTAGAGTTGCAAGTGAGTGGACATTTTAGTGAGAGTCTTGGGGCCTTAGAGAAGCTGCAGAAAGGAAATATCAGGGTGAGGTTGTGTTTGATGGGTGTGATGGACAGATAAAGAGGGTCCCGGCAAAGAAAAGCAGTATGTACAAGATAAGTAAGAGCAAAAACAGACTTGATGAATTGGAGAATGAAAGGTAAGCACATAGGATAAAACTCTGGGAGGTGGCAGTGATCTCAGAATGCCACAGAATCCTACAACAAGCTAAGGATTTTGAACTTCATCCTGTGGGTAGTGGGCATGTCTCCATGACAGATTTTGTTCTGAAGTTTTCGAATGCATTTTATTAATGCTCATGGCACTGGCACATGGCTGAAAATGTTGGTGTTGTATGTGAAAGGTATTCATTATTTTCTGATCCTAGCTAAATTATCTCTGTCAGGAAAACATAGGCAGCCCTGGAAGTAATTGCCCCTTGACGGGTTTTAAGTAGAGTTAAGTCACCTGGTGGAAACTGGACTTTAGAAGAAAGCTTTGGTTCTGGAGCTGTTTGACTGGAAGCACCTAAGATAGATAGCACTGCCTCGTTTGAGGTGTTGTAGAAGTTTAGACAAGTACTTGTCTATCATTCATGCTGGAATGACACTAGAGGGAAAGAACTCTGGGAAGTATTTAAATACTGGAATGTACATAACCTGGGTGCCATGGAATTTGAAAGTGAGAACAGTTTTAAGGTGATTGTTAGGTCTCCCTGACTATGAATTAATACAAATTAGGGGTCAGAAGAAGAGCAGCCTTGATGAGAAGGTGAATGAATGGAGTTGGATTTGGAACTTTGACTTTTGAGGTCCTCGTGGGGGATGTTCTGCCGTAGAGACTGGTTGAGGTGCAGAGTGTAGGTGGTCGCTTATGTCCTGATGTACATGAGGCTGCAGGGAGCATGTGGAGGGTTGGATGAAGAGCTTGACGGGCCTGCAGGGTTTCCAAAGGAAGAGAAGGCTTCTCAGCAAACGCAGTAGGAGAAGCTGACGGGAGCATAGCTCCAAGAGTGAAATTTGCTCATAGAGTCTGTCCAAGATGAAGACAGAATATTTCTGATATGTTAATGGGATTTCTGTTGATCCCAATAAGTGTCATTTCATGGAGTGGTAAACTGTCAAAGCAGAGGAATTGATGTGTCAGTGGAGAAGTAGAACTGAAACCTGGAACCTCAGAGAGCTTTGGTGAAGAAAATCAGCTAGTACGATTAGTTAAAAGAAAGCAATGGAGCACAAGCTGTTTTTTTTTTTTGTATGTATATATTTGCTGTTTGGGGGAAGAGGTTTAAGATAGGGAGAGAAAGGAGCAGTACTTTAAAGAGCAAAGTCTCAGTGCATGAAATAGTGTAACATCAAAGCCATATGAAAAGGATTATCCTAAAAGAGGATTCTAAGGTTAACATGGTTTTGAAAACCACTAGTGGCATGAACTTCAAAGAAAAGGAGTAGGTTTTGTAGTAAGTAAAAAAGTCTGAAAAATAATGTGGAGCTGTAAATACTGTCATTGCATACAGAGATAAGGGGAGTTAACAGTTCTCCAAGGAAAGGTAATGGCCGTGGGCTTTCGGAGGAGAGCTGGATTTCAGTTAAAGCTTTGGTCTGTGTGTTATGAACAAGATGATGCAGAACTTTGTAATGCTTGTGGTTGTTTGGGTGTTCAGGGATTAGGCTGGAAAATAAGAACTGAGCGAAGAGCCAGAATGTTAGTAAATACCAAAGGGCTGACAGCCTGAAGGGAAGCATGTTCTTTGTTGTCAGTGCAGTGGTTACTGAAGTGTTCAAAGTTGCATTGGAACCCTAAGGTGTTCATGTCCCACTCGCAATGTATTGCTGCTTTGCATCTGGAGAGCTTATTGTTCTACTTGCATTGGGGATTGGTGAATTTTACCAAATTCTGCACTTTATATTTTGAGTAAAAGTATCCTAGGTTTCAGTAGCATGTATTAGAATTCTTTATGATAATGCTGGTAAAGATTATCATTGATATTCTTAAACATTTTTTCAGAATCCTTACATATCTGTTTCAAGTCTTCAGTGATTTCAAAAGGATTTTTTTTCTTTCTTTTTTTTTGTTTTAAGATTTATTTATTTGGGCCCGGCACGGTGGCACAGTGGTTAAGGTCCTCGTCTTAAGGCCCGGGATCCCATATGGGCGCCGGTTCTAATCCCTGCAGCTCCGCTTCCCTTCCAGCTCCCTGCTTGTGGCCTGGGAAAGCAGTCAAGGACGGCCCAAAGCTTTGGGACCCTGCACCCGCGTGGGAGACCCGGAAGAGGCTCCTAGCTTTGGATCGGCATAGCATCGGCCGTTGCGCTCACTTGGGGAGTGAATCATCGGAGGGAAGATCTTCCTCTCTGTCTCTCCTGTCTGTATATCTACCTTTCCAATAAAAATAAAATAAATAAAATTTAAAAATAAAATAAATCTTATTTTATTTTTATTGGAAAGGTAGATATACAGAGAGGAAGATCTTCTGTGCGTTGATTCACTCCCCAAGTAACTGCAACAGCTGAAGCTGAGCCAATCCCAAGCCAGAAGTCAGGAGCTTCTTCCAGGTCTCCGTGCGGGTGCAGGGTCCCAAGGCGCTCGGCTGTCTTTAACCGCTTTCCCAGGCCACAAGCAGGGAGCTGGATGGGAAGTGGGTGGTCGGGACACAAACTGGCGCCTATGTGGGATCCCTGCACTTGGCAAGGCGAGGACTTTGGCCACTAGACTACCATGCTGAGGCCCTATTTTATTTTCCAAACAGTTCTCTTATTTCTTTCATTTTATATTTTGAATTTTTTTTTATTTTATTGTAATTATACCCTGTATAAAATAGCAAAAATCTTCTGTTGCCAGAGAGTTAGATTGTATTCCTATGAAATAAAGTTGGTGTGGTTTATGGCCCAGGAATTTGAAAAATATTACACATTTCAAATTAGAGAATTAAATATGACCATATGTATATCATGAATATGTTAATAGTATTTGTAGATTTTTGAAATACGTCCAGTGTTTTTGGTACTTTTGTTGCAAAACAAGTGTAATTGAAGCATATACTAAAATATTTTTGTTCTAAATATTTCGGAACACGTATAATTTCTTTGTCAAAGTTGATTTGATTCTTTAAAATGGTCTGCATGTAGAATTTTATGCAAACAAATTTTTCCTTGGTTCTTGAGATAGCATCCAAACCTCCTTTCATTTAGCTTTAAACGAAGATTTTACTAGGGAGCTGCTTCAAAAAGTTCATGGAAAATGAAATTAAAAGATAAAGTTATTTTGGTGTCATAAAAGTTTGAAAGTCCATGCATAGAGGTATTTTTAAAAGTTCATGAAGGGGCCAGCATGGTGTTACAGTAGGCTAATCCTCAGTTCTGTGATGCTGGCATACATCTGGTTGCTGGTTCCTATCCCAGTTTCTCCTCTCGAGATCCAGCTCTCTACTTATGGCCTACGGAAGCAGTAGAGGATGCTCCAAAGCCTTGGGACCCTGCAGTCAGGTGGGAGTCCCAGAAGAATCTCCTGAGTTTTGGTTACAGAGCAGCTATGCTCTCACCATTATAGTCATTTGAAGAGTGAACCAGAGAGGAAGACCTCTATCTCCTCTCTGCAAAAACTGCCTTTCAAAAAAAAAACCAAAAAAACAAAAAACTTTTCAAAAGTTCATGAAAATATATGTTATGGAAAAATCCACAGGAATTTCTATTTTTTTGACACCAAAATAAACTTGTCATACAATTTCTTTTTTTTTTTTTTTTAAGATTTATTTATTTTATTGGAAAGTCAGATATACAGAGAGGAGGAGAGACAGAGAGGAAGATCTTCCATCCAATGATTCACACCCCAAGTGACCACAACGGCCGATGCAATGCCGATCTGAAGCCAGGAGCCTCTTCTGGGTCTCCCACGCGGGTGCAGGGTCCCAAGGCTTTGGGCCATCCTGGACTGCTTTCCTGGGCCACAGGCAGGGAGCTGGATGGGAAGTGGAGCTGCTGGGATTAGAACCGGCGCCCATATGGGATTCTGGTGTGTTCAAGGCAAGGACTTTAACCACTAGGCCACGCCGCTGGGCCCCATACAATTTCATTTTTATGAAGTACCCTCATATGAAAGATTGGTAAGAAAAGTTAATGGAAAATTAATGCCTATCATGTTTTTGTTAGTTGCTTTCCAATTTTGAATGTGCATTGGTAATAAAAATATATTCACTAGCCACATACATTTTATCCAGGCTTCTTTGCCAAGGAAAACTTGTTTACAGATCCATTTAATTCTTTAGGTTTCACAATTTCTTAGTGTGGTGGTCTAGTCATGTTGCAATCATGTAACATTTGATTGATGACAATATTAAATGCAGCTATGTGTAACATTAGATTAGAGCAATAACTACCATGGGACTTAAGTAGAGTTTCAGAAGTACCAGGTGGTCAAATTTGTAAAATCTTGTAGAAACAAGCTTGTTTTGTCTGGTTCTCTAAGATCTCAAAGCCAGTAGTGCCAAGGCAAGGTTTTGAGTTTCTGCTCATGTAGTCTTAAGCAATAAGTCAAGTTTATTTATTTATGTTTTAATTTATTTTTATTTGGAAAGTGGTTAGAGATATTGGTAGAGACAGAAGCAATTAAGTTTATACCTTGGAGTACTTACAGCAATGCATTATTTAAAGATTGGTTTGTTTATTTGAAGGGCAGAATTGCACAAAGTGGCCAAAGTTGGGCCTTTCAGAAGCCAGCGACTTCTTCCTGTCTCCCAGCTGTTTTGGCCCTTCTGTACTGCTGTCCCAGGTGCATGAGAGAGCTGGATCGGAAATGAAACAGCCTGCATCTGCATTTACCTACTGTGCCACAGTGCCAGCCCTATAGCAGGATTTTTTTTAAACTCTCCTTTATGCCTGTTTATGTGGATTTTCAAATGTAAACAAAAGTAGAAGGAATAGAAAATTAAACTCCAACTTTCTCATCATCTGTCTTCCCAAGTTGTCAACTCAGGGCTAGTTTTGTGTAATGGCTTCCTTTTTGTTTTTGTGCCTGACTCAACCACTTTTCTGCTGTTGAAGAATATGAAGTTGCGTTGTTGTTCTTTTCCCGTGTCCCAGAATTAGGATTTACACCCTTTGCTGTTTACTGTGTTCCTCTTATCACCTGCATTTCCTACAAGTTGGTGATTAAATCCAGAGCCTTAATCAAATTCAGCATCTTTTCTCCACCCCAGCAAAAACATATTTATAGATGGTGCTTGAGACTAATAATTTAAAAAGCAGAAAGCGGGAAACATTTGTTTTAACTTTGGCTTAAAGTACCATCTGATACTGAGACAGGGCACAAGCAACAAAAGCATTTGTGTCAAGGCCACCATATGACTCCCAGTTACTTTGGGTTATCTCTGTGTCACCCACCGACAGTCATTGTCACCTCCATAAATCTGCTTGTTACCCCTGAATAGCCACTCCCAAAATGTGTTGATTGCTCTTTACTTTTAGGGACATGTATGTGTAAATGAGTCATTATTTTGTAATCCAAGATTTTGAAAGCTTATCTTTGACATTGTACTTCAGTATTTGTTTTTATTCTACATGTTGAATTTTTAAAATTTTCTGCCAACTTTGTGTTTGAGGAGCTTGGTTGACAAATATTAGGCAGGATTTATGTTTAAAAGTTGTATTCCTGGGACAGATGCCATGACAGAAGGTCATGAGTGGCTGGCTGTCAGAGCATGAAGTACTGGAGGGTAACTGAGGCAGGTCTGTTAAGTCATGGATTTGGAAAATCAGGTTAAATTTTTGGCTTTGAATAAAGAAAGTTGGGCTCTGGGAGACCACAGAAATAACAAGGCTATGTGTCAGGGAGGTTAATGTGGCAGTTTTTGAGAAGGGCAGGCCAGTTGTGTGCAGTAGTTCAAGTGAATGGTGCACAGTGAAAAAAAGTTTGGGAGTTAGAACATAACTGTAAAAGTGGAAAATCAGTCAGTTCCTTGGAGGTGTTAATACATTAGGATGGGAGAGGGTGGCTTGGAGGTGGTTCTCATTGTTGAGGACACAGTTTAAACTCAAATCTGATAAAACAGAACCATGTTATGAAACAAGTACTAGTTGTGTTTCCTTGTTATTAGTTCTAGAGACAGTCCAAAAGCCTCATGAAGGTCCTGGAGAAATGGGGAAGCCAGTCGTCATTCCTAAGGAAGACCAAGAGAAAATGAAAGAAATGTTTAAAATAAATCAGTTCAATTTAATGGCAAGTGAAATGATTGCACTCAACAGATCTCTACCAGATGTTAGACTAGAAGGGTAAGTACCTGTTATGACACTGACTATATTTGAAAGATAGGTGCTGAATTCCCAGTAAACTGTGCTACAGTGCTGATTGTCCTTAGAGTGAATGGCATTATTACTAAATTAAGAGTTAACTGTTAAGAAATAATGCTGGTGCAATAAATAAGATCATTAGAACTGCACATAAAGATGTTAATAAATAATAATGTTTTTGATGGGTTAGTTGGGAATTTTAAGCTTCATTACTACCAAAATGCTGATATGTTTAAGTTTTTACAGAAACATTCCAACTGTGTGGCTTGAAACAGTTAAAGTATATAGCTTAATACATTTTTACATTTGTATACTTTCTTATGTAAACATTATCCAAATCAAGATATGGAGCATCTTCATGCTCCTGGAAGTTTTGTAGTTTTTCTTTCCAGTCATTTCTTTCACACTCAGAGACAGCCATTGCTTTGATTTCTCTAAACATAGGTTAGTCTTGTCTCTTTGTGAAATCTTTTTCTGCAAAATTACATTTTTAAAAAATTTTGAATTTTATGGTACAATTCCAAAGCATCTGTGGATATACTGAATACTGTCGTTTCTTGTAGTTTTGTGTTGTTGCATTTGTCAGAAGTTCATTCTTTTTCATTGCATTATAGTGATTTGCTTTGTGAACATTACTCTATACACATTTGGGTTATTTCCACATTTTCATTATTATGATTAAAGCTGTTACGAAATTCTTTGACGTGAGTTTTGGTTTTAAAAGCTTCTGTTCTTAAAATTTGTTTTTATTTAGTATATACTGAGGAAACAAATAGATGATGCATGTATGTCCATTTTGTATGGTGCTGCCAGGTTGAGTTGCTCCATGTGAAAAAGATAATAAAATATCTATGTTAGTAGACAGGTAGGCCAGTTTCTAGAGCACAGGGACTGTGTACCAGCAGGTAGATTAAATGAGCAGGTGTAGTCTAGCTGCTGAGCACCCTCAGCTACCTTGCCGTACTTGGCTCCCTTTAGGCTTTGCTTTTGCAGGAAAGAAGGAAGAAGAATTTTCTCAGCAAAATTGGATTCGTTCTAGAGAAGAAGAAAGATAAATGGACCATCTGTAGTGGTGGGGTGGGGGGAATTGGTGGGAGTCCTACACAAGTTGACATTGGAGATTCTTCAACTTAATAGCACAGGATTGTTCCCCTTATGCATAAGTCCCATTTATAAATCCATAACTCATATTCAGCTATGTAGCCTTCTTTTTTAAAAAAGAATTTATTTATTTTTATAGGAAAGGCAGATTTGCAGAGAAGAGACAGAGAGTAAGATCATCCATCTGCTGGTTTACTCCCCAATTAGCTGCAGTGGTCAGAGCTGAGCCAATCAGGAGCCAGGAGTCAAGAGCCTGTTCCCAATCTCCCACTTGGGTGCAAGATCCCAAGTCTTTGGGTCATCCTTGACTGCTTTCCCAGGCTACAAGCAGGGAGCTGGATGGGAAGTGGGGCCAGGATTAGAACTGGCACACATATGGCATCCTGGCACATGCAAAGCGAGGACTTTAGCCACTAGGCTACCATGCTGGGCCCTATAGTCTTCCTTTTTAAAAAACATTTACTTTATTTGAAAGGTAGAGTGACACAGAATGGCAGAGACAGAGAAAAAGAAATAGCGAGTCTATTGTTTCATTCCTCAAATTGCTGGTACTGGTCGGGGCTAGGCCAGGCAGAAGCCAGGAGCCAAAAACTTCATGTTCTTTTTTTTTTTTTTTAAAGATTTATTTTTATTATTTTTTCATTGGAAAGGCGGATATACAGAGAGGAGAGACAGAGAGGAAGATCTTCCGTCCGATGATTCATTCCCCAAGTGAGCGCAACAGGCCGATACTATGCCGATCCCAAGCCAGGAGCCTCCTCCGGGTCTCCCACACGGGTGCAGGTTCCCAAAGCTTTGGGCCGTCCTCGACTGCTTTCCCAGGCCACAGGCAGGGAGCTGGAAGGGAAGCGGGGCTGCCGGGATTAGAACCGGTGCCCATATGGGATCCCGGGCGTGCAAGGCGAGGACCTTTAACCACTGCGCCACCGCGCCGGGCCCAAAACTTCATGTTCTTAAGTGGGTTTCCCATGTGATCGCAAGAGTCCAGGAATTTGGGTATCTTCCTCTGCTTGCCAGTCGCATTAGCAGGGAACTAGAGCAGAAGCTGAGGTGCGGGACTTGAACCAGTTTGTTGGCACAGGCTTAACCTAATGTGTCACATAATGCTAGCTTGGTTTTTCATTCTTAATAGTAAACATAAAACCCAAGGAATGCTAGAAATCACATGACAAAAAAAGGCAGCTGGAACGAAAGGGAAGTGGGAAGAATCAAAGACTGATTAGGAAAAGGAAAATATAAAAAGAAACGATGAATATTCTCTGCAAAACAGAAAACACTACCACCGGAAAACAAGAATAGGGTATGATTCACAAGATACACTCAGAGAACCAAAGGGAGCCCTAGAAATTCAAAAATAATTATCAAAAAACTTCAATAGATTGGGAGAAAAATCTTCTATAGGCATGTGAAAATTGAAGCAATAGTCAGAAGGTCTAATGTTTGAATAATGGGAAGCTCAAAAAAAAGGTAGCTAAAAACTGGGAGTTTGTCCACAAAATTTTTCACAACTGCATACATTTTCACTGAAAGAATTCAACACATTTTTAGTTGATTGGCATCTCCTGGGAGACAGTGTCAATTTCCAAGCAGTGAGGATGCCCCCTCCCACCGACAACAACAAAAAACTTGTTATAGATATTTCAGAAGAAAAAAGCAGGTCTCAAAAGACTTTAGAATCAGAGGAGAAAAATTCTACATAGGAATAATTAACAACCCAAAATTTTATATTTAGCAAAACCAAGTACACAGATCAATAAGCTATTTTTGGATATGATAAGTCTTGAAATGTTGAACTGCTGCCGCACATCTGTTCTCAATGGGTTCGTGATAAATCAAGTAATATTAGAAGCATAGTCTCCAGCTTGAAGCAAAGCTGTATCATTTATAAATATTCCAATATCCTTAGAAAGATAAGGATTCCAAAAAGTCATGACACTATTAAAAAAAAAGAAACAAACAAAATTTGTGAAGTTTGACCTAGTAGTTTGTTTTTTCATTACTGATTTTCATTCCCATTACTCCCTTTGTTCTTTGTTAATGCACACTTTCAACGGGTAGTTTTAGGATTTGTGTTTTTTCCTCTCCTGGTTTAGCAACTGTACATTTTAGTTTTATTCCTTCAGTAGTAAGACTTGGGCATCTAGTCAAGAATTTGTCTTTGTGTGCTCAGGGCACAATCATATGTTTTGGAGCTGGTCTCCAGTTCCGGGACGCTCCTAGTGTTGCTGCTTCACCATTTCCTCCAGTTTGTTGTGATCAAAGTATCTGAATGCAGGTAATGGAACTTCTAGAGGGAGATTCATGGTTTGTTTGTTTGTTTGTTTGTTTTTTGTTTTTTTCTGTGTTCCTTTTTGAGTTGTCTGTACATGAGTATCTTAATAGTGACAAAGGCTGCTCTGTCATTTTGTGGCTATGTGGCTTTGAATAGGTTACTTGGCTTTTCTATACCTCAAGAACCTTATCTGTAAAATAAGAATATAACAAGGATGGGTGGGAAGATGTGAATACTGTCAGTATTTCCTGACACCTGGGATATAAAGGAGTAACCACTATCTCCCAGTCCAATTCCTGGGAGATTTGATGCCAGATGGGCTTTTCCATCTTTACCCTTTTTCTACTGACTGCTTTTTGTTTGTTTTTAATATAGATTTGTTTATTTACAAGGCTTAGTGAGCAAGAGAAGGAGAGCTGGAAAAAAGCCCTTCTAGCCACTGTTTGAATCCTCAAACGTTTGCAGGGGCTGGAGCTTCATCAAGCTGAAGCCACGAGCAAGGAACTTCATGCAGATTTATTGTTTGGGTATAAGTTCCCAAAAACTTATGCCATCTTCTGCTTGTTTCTCAGGATCATTAAGAAAGTGATCAGGAGTGGAGTACCTGGTACTTAGATTGGCCCTCCAGTATGGGTTGCCTGTGTCACCGGTGGCATACAGGAGCCCTAGTCCACTTATTTTTTGATTCGCAAAGTGGAGCAAAAGCAAATTATTAAATCAGAAGTAACATTTAAATATCCCTACACCAAACTGAACAAATCTGTATTCATGTGGTCTTAAGACAAATATTGAAGTATAAGGAAAAATAGTGGGCACAGTGCATGCACCAGGATCCCATATGGGCGCCAGTTTGTATTCTTGTGGCCCTGTTTCCATCCAGCTCCCTGTTTGTGGCCTGGGAAAGCAGTCAAGGATGGCCCAAAGCCTTGGGACCCTGCACCTGCATGGGAGACCGGGAAAAAGCTCCTGGCTCCTGGCTCCTGGCTTGGGATCTGCTCAGCTCTGGCCTTTGTGGCCACTTGGGGAATTAACCAGCGGATGGAAGATATTTCTCTCTATATTTCCTTCTCTCAGTGTATCTGCCTTTCTAATAAAAACAAATAAATCAGTCTTTGAGGACAAAAAAAGAGAGAAATAGTATGGATAGCTCGTAGAGTATAACTTTTTTTTTTTTTACCACCTTTTTATATCCTGAGATATTTGCTTGTTCTAAGACATGGCTTAACTGGGAGTGTAGCTGGCCATGTTTCATCCTGTATCTACTAAGAACCTTGACCGACTGTGGTGTCTGCAAAGACACATTTCCTGAAGGAAACTGCAAGGAAGGATAACACTATCGCACAGTTAAGGGATCGTTAGGGAAACAATCACTAATAACTGTGATGTGTGATTTTAAGGAAGAAGGTTTGAGACAAATTCCAAGTCCTCCAGTATCGCAGATCCATTCTGTATAATTAATCTTAGATATTTAAGAAATAGCAACACAGTGTATTAAATATTCATTATGACACAATGTGCATTTAAGAATTTATTTTTATTATCATTTTTTTTAATTGGAAAGGCGGATATACAGAGAGGAGAGACAGAGAGGAAGATCTTCCGTCCGATG